TGGTGTATTTGATTGAAATTTTTGTTGTCATAGAGTAAGCATCATACATGATCTTATGTTTTTGATTCATAATTTTACTTAAGTGTTGAGGTTACAAGGCACAAAATTTCTAGTTGTGACAAAGGAGTAGATCCAGAAGTTACACTCCATTTGCTACATTTTCTGATAATCAAGTCTCTAACTTGATCATTCTTTTCTTAGATCTATTTTCTTCCATTTTATGAGAGTTTTTGGTTCAAGAACCTTTCGTATTGGGACATCCCACGTGACTTGTATTTTAGATCTAGGATCTAGGAGGGGTTTCATGGCATAAAGATGCAAACTTTTTGACCATGGAAGCCCTATGCAAGCTTTTAAGCATTAATATGGCCTTTTTAGCCCTAAATGGCCATGCATGGAAGCAAGCTTGAGACTTTATGTGATTAACTGATATCTAGGCCCTAGATCTAGGTTTTCATGCTTTGGTTAGGGATATTAATGCTTTTTAGACAAGATCTATGTCCTAAAAGAATTAGGGTTTTAGCTAAACCCTTCCAGAAGGGCTATCAACGGTAAATTTGGAAACTTTACCCTTAGAAAGATCATTTCCAGTGAACAAGCGAAGTATGAGCATTGGATCTAGAGAACAAGAACTTAATCTGTTAAGATGGCCAAACAGACAGAGGGACTCGTCGAGTCCATAGGGGAACTCGACGAGTCGGGTCGTGTTGTCCCGTTCCAGTTTAAGGTAGAACTCAACAAGTCTGTAGAGGGACTCGACGAGTTGATTCGCTAAGTCGCGACTATGAGCAGCTCGATAGGACTCGACGAGTCGGAGGAACGACTCGGCGAGTTGAGTCGCGATTTCAGGATTTCTAAGTTAAAGAGCTCGACAAGTTGAAATATTGAATCGGCGAGTTGGTCAACTCAAAACGTTGACTTCGACCAGAGCGTTGACTTTGACCAAGGGCAAAATGGTCATTTTACCCTTAGATAGATTTTCAGTTTTTAGCTAAATGTTTTGTATATGTAGCCAGGGAGTCGTTGGAGCAGCCATCGGAGATTCCTCACTTGAGATATCAGCAGCCAGTTTGAGAGGTGAGATTTCCTCCAGTAGGAACGGGTCAAAGGCACCAATATCGGCCCGTTCATGTATGTTAGCATATGCCGGACTTAGGTCCGATGCCGGGGATAACCTGATGTAGCTTATATGTTTCGGACCTCGGTCCGATGCTGGGGCAAGCCCGAGGAATGTTGTATGCTTGATGCCTTCGTGATTCTTGCATGTACTTGTTTGTCTGTTCCGGACTTCGGTCCGATGCCGGGGCAAGCCCGATGAAGATTTAGGTCTGACGCTAGGAGGGGCCCGATGTCGTACTTCGGTCTGGTGCCTGGTGGGGCCCGATGCCGGTCGGGGCCCAATACAGTGGTCAAGGCCTAGCATATGCTATTATGTGTTTATTATATGGTATGTGGTAATTTGGGGGAGTTCACTAAGCTTCATGCTTACGGTTTTAGTTTTTGGTTTTAGGTACTTCTACTAACAAAGGGAAGGGTTCGGGTTGACCGCATGACACACACCACAGTTTTCTAGCCTGAGATATTTCACTCTGATATTTGATATGATATTTTGATACTTTGGCAGTTGTTATATTATTTTTAAGATACATGGTTTTGATAATGATTTAAAAACGAAATTTTTGGACCATATTTTTGAGATGTTTCATATATATATATATATATATATATATATATATATATATATATATATATATATATATATATATATATATATATATTCAATTAAGTCTCAAAAACTGGTAATCGTATTCAGTTTGACCCTTTATCCGGTCAACAATAAATCCAACTTTTAAGAACTACACTTTTGGCCTAGATTCAACTTTTTTTTTTTTATAAATTTGGTCCAAAATTTACCCTTTTGGTCTAACTTTTAGAATTTTGTTTTGAATTTATCCTAACTTTAGTTTTCTTTTCTACAACATTTTCTCTCTCAAAAAAAAAAAAAAAAAAAAAAAAAAAAAAAAAAACTCGAATATATTTTTTTCTTTATAAATCATATTTATTCAAATAAAAAACATATTTTTTGAATAATTCTTTTTTATAAAGTCATATTTATACAAAAAAAAAACATTTTTTCACATAAAAAATCTTATATTTTCTTTATAATTTTTTTTATACGCAACACCTATTTTATACAAATATTTATTTATGAAGTACATAATGTATGAAAATTCATTTTGATAATATATATATATATATATATATATATATATATATATATATATATATATATATACAAACACGTATTTTACAAGAAAAAATGTGTAAAACATCTATTTTATTATAAATACATTTTGTAAAAACATATTTATATGCATCCAAATAAGTGCTTGTATATATTTCTTTTGTAAAAATATATTTATATACTTTTTATAAACACCTATTTTATAATAAACACATTTTAATACAAACATGTTGACATATAAAATGTATACAAACAAGTATTTAATAAAAATATATTCAAACACGTTTTTATAAACAAATGTATTTAATAAAAATCATATATATATATATATATATATATATATATATATATATATATATACACACACACGTTTAGTACGAAAATAGGTGTTTATCTATATTTTTTTATAAATATATGTTTTTTACAAATATATTTATAATAAAATAGGTGTTTGTATATATATATATATATATATATATATATATATATATATATATATATATAAAATAGGTGTTATATATATATATATATATATATATATATATATATATATAAAAGAGATGTGTTTGTATACATTTTTTTTATAAAAACGAATTTGTATATATTTATGGACTTAATAAATACCTATTTTAAAAAAGAGGTGTTTCATATAAAAAATAAAAATAAAATTTTTTATGTAGAAAATATAAGATTTTATATGTGAAAATGTGTTTTTTAGTATAAATATGATTTTTTTATTTAAAAGTTCAAAAAAAACTAAAGTTAGGGTGAATTCATAACAAAATTCTAAAATATAGGCCAAAAGAAAAAGTTTGACCAAATTTGTAATAAAATTTAAAATTTAAGCCAAAAGTATAAATTTTTAGGACCAAATTTATAATAAAATTTGAAATTTGAGTCAAAAGTATAAATTTTGAAAGTTGGTGTTGATCTTGATTGAATTATATATATATATATATATATATATATATATATATATATATATATATATATATATATATATATATATATATAAATGATAAGACTAATATATAGGATTTTTTTTACAATTTTCTCAATAATTTATGTGCTTTGTCATCAAAGTTGTTTTTGTCGGGTCAACAAAATAAATGGATGTTATCCTTTAGCCACATTGACACATTGGCATTAACTTATTTTTCCCTTAAACATTTGACTTTGAAAGTCAAAAAATTCCTCTTGCACCTTCTCTCTCAATTCTTTCTTACTTTAAAATTCTCACTAGACCGGGCAATTTGATACACAGCACGAACACGATACGAGTTTTCCGTGTATGTGTTTTAGAAATTCATGTTTCGTATTTATTCGTGTCTAACATGTATTTTAAATTCGTATTTCGTGTCTTATACATGTCAAACACGAATTTACCTATTTAGACACGTATAAGACACGATACAAATTCGTGTTGACACGTGACATGTACAAACACACATAAACACCTATACAAACATATATACTTTAAGGTTAAATTTTATATTTAATATATTAGGGACCAATTTTGTAAAATTCAATAATTAGTTTATAGCTCTAGCTTAAAAAAAACCATTAAAAACGTGTCTATTCGTTTTTTTCCGTGTAACACAGCTGAAAAACGTGTCTATTCGTGTCATGTCACATGTCACACGAATTTTTTACATGTTGTGTTCGTATTTGATACCTCAAACACGTTTTTTAATTTGTGTCGTCAGTGGCGGACCGTGTAAGGGGCCAGGGGAGGCCATGGCCCCCCTGGTTTTTTGGCTTAATAGTAACAACATATATATGATTTAGTTATGAAAAATCATTAATCAACTTTACAAGTAATCAAAGTACCGTTTTCTCAGGAACCGTTTTGAAAAATCATTTAAACTAATCTTATTTCAAAAGGAAACTAACTATTTACTATATCACTAATTAAATCTATAAAATGACCAAAAAGCCGATCTAATTTACAATCAATTTTAAAGAACAAATAAAACCCTAAACATTTGTCGTCTGCGTAAGAAAAAGATTGTCAAAATTGCATCAAAAATTGCGGCACAACACTCTTGAAAGATATCACCGTCACCGGAAAGGTTTGCAACTCACCGGAGTTAAGCTTGTACTTATTTCATAGACCGCAAAAATGCAACTCACCGCCAGAAAACATAACTCTATCGGACTTCTTGCCCTTCTCTTCTCTCACAAAATTTCTTACTGTCTCTCCCCTCCTTGGATCCATGCACTGTTCTGTGTTGCCTTGGTGCTCTTTCTCTATTTCTCATCTCTGTTAGAGTCAAGTATGCCCTCTCTCATGCTTTCATAAATTGATATGCTATAACTCATTTGGTGTTGCTACCGATAAAGAAAGAGGGAAGGCATAGACTAAAAGTAGTCTACTCTAAAGGTAGCTGTAGCAAAAGTACGATAACATTGGATAGAAAGAAAATAAATATTATGATTTATTAAGCAATATTTTAGCTTTTAATTTTCTATAAATATCAATAGAATTTATATTGATTCAACTGCAGAGGTTTATATGTAAATGTATATACATATATACTGTGAAATTCAAAATTATAATGTATAATCTTTACAAAAAAATATTAACTAATTAATTATGATTATAAGTATGAAAAAAAAACATGTTTATAAAATTTGGTTTCGGCCCCCTAACTTGTAGTGTTTGTGTTCCGCTCCTGTGTCGTGTTTGTGTTTAACAAATTCGTGTTTATATGACACAGATACGGATTGTAAGGTCTAATTTTCACAAATCAAACAAATGGAATTTGAATTGGGATAGCCTCGACCGGCTTTAAAATTCTCACACTCAAATCAAATGTATGCTTCTGTACAATCTTCGAAACAGTTTTATTTATGCAACCATTTACGAGTCCTGTTTTTTTTTCCTTGCTACGCTTCTCCAGTCCATATCGTCGCCGCATTCAATCTAGACGCCTCCCACCGCCGTCCTCCTCCTTGCCTCTGGCGATCTCCCCATCAACAACCACAAGCACCAGCGACCTCTTGTCTTCAACCTCGACGATTCCGCCATCGTTTTCCTCCTTCCTCTTTATTGTTGAACACCACCACGATAGATAAGCTCCCATTTACAGGATCTGCCTTGTTTCCTTCCGCTACTAATGGCTTTGCATCCAAAAGTGAGGTCGTTTATTCTGGAAAACTCCAAAAGGCATTCGAACAAGTTGGATCAGGAACGAGTATCGGTTGCCTCAACATGAAACTGAAAGTTTACAGAAGGTACCAATGAATTCTCTTCAACTGATTAACTCTTTCTGGCTAAGAAGAAGTTAAGGATGAACTGTGCACAGAAACTGTTCGATGAAATGCATGAAAGAAGTCAAAGATCTAATAAAAAAAAATTATTATGTTCCATTTCATTTAATTACATGCCGCTATTAACTGGTTTCAGAGGTCGAGTATCACAATAACAAGATTGTTTCCTCATAAAGCACGAAAATAAGTTTAAGGGACTGAATGGAAAAATGTGCAATACTTAGTAGAGCCAATAGTCATTTTCCCTATAGACATACAAATTTCTTAATTCGACTTGATCTCCTTTATTTACTTCAAGAGTTTGGTTAACTTTCTTCACGATCTTAAGATGTAATGGTATCACCTCAATAAATCCTACTGTTCTGAAATTGGTTAAGTGTGGATAAAGTCCTGTTGTGTATCTCAGTATCTGAAGCTTTATATCATCCACTCAAACTTCAATTTCATGGCCTTTATATTCTATCTTATGATCTTCATTTACTAATAAATTTATGTCTCTACTGTTTCTCATTTTATTAGGCTGACTTCCCTCATTCTTGAAATAGTTAGAGCACTTGCTCAAGAGGTAGAGTTTTAGTTACCGAACTAAGCTTACCACTTATATTATTCTTTTACTTCTATATGATGATTTTGTTTGGATATACAATTGTAAGTTGGTTCCTTACTTGTGAATATATTAAATAGAATTTGGGGTCTCAGTTATATGTTATGTTTTACTACATAAAACAAGTGATCATCTTTATGCATTTAGCAATTTCATTCCTTTGCGACTGTGTTGTGAAGTCTTTTTGTGACTGTATATGATGTTATTTGACTTGTTCAAGTAGATGAACCCAAGATAGCGGTTGCTGAAATTGACATTTGTTCGATATACATCTGGTTGTAATTTGCTGATAGTCACCTTTTTGTTAAAGGATATACATTTAAATTTGGATCCATGGTAATGGGATCTCTTTTCCATTACAGAATCTACAAGGGTGTGATTCCACATCTTGTTACATCAGTGTGCTTCAAGAATTAATAATAAAAGTAAGCTTTAATTTTTTTAAATTGTTTTAAAATCCGGTGGACATATTAAAATATTAGGAAATTTCACCAATCATTCAATGTGAAAACAATGCTAAATGATAGAGAAAAAGTCACCTAACATTTGTTAATATTGACTTTGTTTTCATTTATTTCCGTACTCGGTTTAGGTATTTATGTATTACATAGGTTGATTAAAAAAATTATTAAATAGAAAACTAAAGGACGTTTGGCCTAGTTGTATCATGAGTTGGCGGATATATAGGTGTAACTCAACCAAAAAATATTGTTCAAAATAACAAAAAGATAGTCATAAATTTTCAAGGAAATATTTGAATTTGAAGACAAGTCACTTTTCCAATCTATTTTATAAAAAGCTAATATTTCTTTAAATGTGAGCCCTTGAAAAACTTATTTAAGAAAACTTGTAACCTTACTAATATAGTGATGGAAAGAGTTGCTAGATTTATTGAAGATTTAAATCTAATGCATTGGAATATTTTGAGTTTTAATTTGAGCATTTAATTTATTTTGGGATTGGAATCTTACTGTAGAAATATTTAAAGTTTTCATGAAAGGAGAGGAGGAAGATGAAAGAGAAGACATAATGGTTATATTTTATAAGTTTAACTTGTTGGGTTCTCCATTAAATTCTCTGGGGAGTAAAAGCGTTATGGAAGTGAGAAAAAATTCTATTTCGGACCCAAAAACCAAAAAAAATAAACTGTGGATAGCGACATTAATATAGTTTACTACTCTCTTTCAATTTTGTGGCAAACTAATATAAAACATAATCAAATTACACAAAAAGTTAAATTAGAATTTAAACAAAAATCTTTCTTCATTTCTATTGAAAATTGCCCCATTCAAAAATTTCTTCCATATTTTCTATAAAAGAAATAATTTATGATGACATCAATGGGAAAAACAAGTCACATTATGATGCTTTATTGAAATGTCAAGTCATAAGAAAATTATTGAGCTTTTGTTTTGAAATTTCCTGGAAAGTCACGTCTCTTTATATTTACTTCATTTCATTTCATAGATGTGCCTTCATTTCATTTCATTGATGTGCTGAAACCACATACATTTTATCTCAACAAATAAACATGTCAATTTCATATTCACCTTCCTCTTCTCCTTTTATTCTCAGTCGTGGAAGTACGATGTTTTTCTAAGCTTTAGAGGAGAAGATACCCGTAAGACTTTTGTAGATCATCTCTACTCAGCTCTTGATCAACAAGGGATCAATACTTACAAGGATGACGTGACACTTCCTCGGGGAGAATCGATCGGCCTATCCCTTAAGGAGGCTATCAGAGAATCACGGATTGCCATCATTATATTCTCTAAAAACTACGCAAATTCATCATGGTGCTTGGATGAACTTGCACACATTATGGAATGCAAGGATATGAGAGGGCAAACTGTTATGCCCATCTTTTATGACTTGGTTCCCTCTACACTGCGAAAACAAAAACGGATATGTAAAGAAGCATCGGTCAAACATGAGTTGGAGAACAAGAAGAAAGTTGAATCTTGGAGAAAAGCACTCATGGAAGCAAGTAACATTTCTGGATGGGAAATCAAGCACATTGCCAATGGGTAATTATCTTCTTTTCTGCACTTTTTATGCCCAACTCATGGTAAAGTTCATATTTACCACCCGATCTCCAATAATAAAACCAGCCCGGTATCCAATAATAATATTAATCACAACTTGAGATGAATATACTAAAACTGAAAAGGTTGACACTGTCCAGCTAGGGTGTTGTTTATTACCACCTGATGAGGCTATTCAGCTCTTGTTTAACATGCATATGATGAGGGGTGTAGGTATGTATTATATAGGATTGTAAGATGACTTCACTAAATTTGGTTTCTTATGCTTGTGGGATCCCATTAACACAATCATGGTTTAGCTTCTTTTTTATATGTCAAAGATGAGAATGAGTGGATCAAAGCCTTGGCAAGTTAAATTAAAGATATCCCAAGTCATATGACTAATTTATGATTGACTTCATTAATTGGATTATAATATTGATTTCATATATTGTACATACTGCCTCGCTTGCATTTATAACGACAAGCCTTCTATCTTCAGTATTTGATTCGTCTATTTGATCTTCCCCAACTTGTTACAAACTACTGACTTCAAAAGTTGTATTTGAATGTAAAATATTCTAAGAGGTAATTAGCACCCTTCCTTAATTTATTTCAAGGAACATGGAACTTACAACAAATGACCAGCTCCTTAATTTATCCATGTTATCATGTGTTAACCATCCTTGAACATTCAATATGTGCAGGCATGAGTCAAGGTGCATCAAAGAAATTGTTGACACAATTTCACATAGGTTGCATCCAGTGTTGATAAGAACCTGATTGGAATAGCCGCTCACATGCACAAATTTATATCATGCCTAAAAATTGGGTTAGTATTGGAATATTGGGTTGCATCCTCTGTTTATGATATAATCTCTAGCAGGTTTGATGATTTCTGCTTTGTAGAAAATTTGCTGAAGGAATCAAGTAAGTATGGTTTGGTTAATTCGCAAGAAAAAGTTCTTTCTAGTGTTTTGAAAGAAAAGCAAGTGCATGTAGGGAGAGTTAAGGAAAGAATATGTGTTTAATGGGTAGGTCATGCTACAGATACAGAACCGTCTTAATCGGTCTTGATGATGTCAATCATCTTGACCAACTAAATGTGTTTGCTGGATCACAAGATTGGTTTGGTGAAGGAGGCCGAATAATCACATCTAGAGATGAACATTCTTTTATTGAACACAGAGTAGATGTGATACATAAAATTGTTTTAATAGACAATGATGAGGTTATTCAGCTTTTTCGCATGCATGGACTTAAGCCCATTGAGAAAAGGTTGCTTGTTAGAGATGAAAGGGCAATGGTGTTGGTTGCAGTTTGGATTTTTCACCTTGTTAGAAGAAATAATATGTGGACACAAAAGGCTATCATAATTATTTGCGATGGAAACTTTGATATGCATGATTTGACAAATTTCACGGGAACATGGTAACAATCATGAAAAATGTTGTAGAATTTGGAAGAAGGAAAGCGTTGTGAACATATGCAGTGCTACAGATGCAAAGGTAATGATTAATCACTCTTAGCGCAACCATGACATCATTTTGTTCTTCTCTCATCGAAACAATGATAAAATTGAATCACAATCTTTTCTTCAGGTTTGTGCAGACATGAAAAACCGTCGGTGGATTGATTTTAAATTTAAACAAAGACTTGATGTTACAGGTCCATTGCCCGAATATTTTCCAATATGGGAGCTTTCTTGTTTTACAATGATCAGCCTTGTGCAAAAACAACTTTCTGAGGGTTATAAGGTAATCCTTATTGCTTCTTTAATCAAACTTATAATGTACTTCACTAAAAAATTTAAAGCAGCTATTAAGTTTTTATCAGAGTTGATGGTAATGATATACACATATGAAAGTTGGGCATTAAACTTTGGGATGTAAATGAGCGAGCCCAGTTTGACACTTATCTACCCAGGTTCGTTTAAAGTTATAGAAGCTCAAGCATGAAGCTCACTAAAAATTGGCATCGACATGTATTTTTTTTTTTTTTTTTTTTTTTTTTACTAATATATAAGTAATAAATAATAATATAAAAAATAAAAGTATATTATTAAAAAACTCATGTAAGCACGCAAGCTTATACAATTTGATAGCGGACTCGTTTATTATATGGGCTTTATTCTAGCTAGGCTCATGCTCGGGCTTGTTTTGAGCATTTAATTATCCAAATTCGGGGTTTCAAAAAATAGTTGATCCATTTAAGCTTTTTCAAAGATTTATACGGTTTCTAAAAATAGCTACTAAGGTCCCACGTGGCCTAATAGGCTACGGAATTGAGTTGTCCCCCAATTTATAACTTACTATTTTTCTTTACTTTTTGCACATTTTTTTTTTTTTTTTTTTTTGTGAAATCTCTCTTAATTTAAAGACCGTTATTTTCACAGATGAACAGATTAAAAAAATTCGCAGGTCTTATATTCAAAATTTGCAACTTTAATTTGCACGTCAAACTTTGGAATTTGTATGCTTTTTTTTCATAAGTCAAATATGAAAAAAAAAATTGTTTTTGTTATTTTTGTTGTAAGTCTTATCTGAGAAAAAATAGATAATGACTTAAAAAGGTAATATATTTTTTGATCTGTACACATTTGATCATTAAATTTTTTTTTGTCCACATTTAACCATTTAACTTGTTTTTAATTGCCAGGGTAAGCCGAAAAAATGATTTAATATGGTAATATATTTTTCATTTTATACACATTTAGTCTTTATGATCGGTTGCTTCATATTTTTCTCACGACATGCTATATGGGATAATTATTAATGAGGTGTTCTCATACGTGGCTGGTCCTTCACTTATATCATTAACCTAATTCACAAATCGGTCAAATAATGTTAGTGTCCTAGTTTTCTCCAAGCATAATATATCTTTGTTTTCGGTTTCATATATCTACACAACATACAACGAGATTCTTTGTCTAGGAAGTGCAAATTTGAGTTGGGGTACAATCACAAAGAATCTCGTTGTTTACTATGGAGATAGATGGAACTTTTTGCCAGTGTGTTCTTTTGTCTTGGAAATGCAAATTCTTTTAGCGTCTTCTTTATTTCTTTTTGTCTTGGAAGTGAAAATTTGAGTTAGGAGGAAACAATCACAAAAATCTCATTGTCTACTATGGAGATAGATAAAACCGAAGACGAAGATATTTTCTGCTTTGAGAAAACTAGGAAATCAATATTATGCGATCGGTTTGTGAATTAGGTTGCTAATATAAGTAAGTGAAGGACATATTACATATGACAACATCTCATTAATGATTGTCCCATGTAGAAAATCATGAGTAAAATCTAAATAAACTAATCATAAGCATTAAATGTGTACAAACTGAAAAATATATTACCTAAAGTGATTTTTCGAGCTTAACCTGTAATAACCGGTTACAATGAATGAATTTTGACAAAAAGACAAGTTAATTGATCAAATGTGGACAAAAAAATTCAGTGACCAAATGTGTGCAAATCAAGAAGTATATTACTTTTTTAAGTAGTTATCCCAGGAAATAAAATAAAATAAAATCAACTTTTTTTTGTTTGAAAACGACAATGTTTTATATGTTCGCAGGTTTAATGGTAGGTTGGCTCGTGGGACCTTTGAAATTAGTGGATTTTTTTTTTTTTTTGAAAAACTTTACCTAGATATCTTGGAACATGGTTTTTTTTTTCTTTAAATAATTTGGTACCGGACGAAACGAAGCTGAAACCGAGCGGCTGATGTTTTAATTCTCTACCTTTTTGTTTTGATTTTTATTAGAATATAACTAGTCATTGTTAATGATAAATTTGTATATGTGACTATATTTCTACGTACAAACTTATTAAAATGTGTGTAAATTTTATAAGAATAAGCTATTTTTAAATGTGTATTTTTGGAACAAAAGTATTATGTAGTTTATTTTTATTTTCAAATGTGATTGTTTGTAACCATGCCAGGGTGGGATCATAAGGGAATTTTGGGTTTCTATGTCTTATCGATCTGGCCTTTATGTCCAAAAACATATCATAAAAGTGAATAACCTTATAAATATGGATGATAGTCCTCTCAATGGGTAGTGATTCTTTTCCTCTTTCCATATCAGGTAGACGTTTTTTATATGAACCAACAGTAGCCTGACACTTGGTGATCAGAGCATTACTTATAGATATAATCTGACAGTTGATTCTGATGACAATGATGAAGACAGAAGAGTGATCCCTTTACTTAATGAGACAGGAAAGAATGACAAGGTAGAGGGGGAGATTTTGGAGAGGTTAGAAAAGGGAAAGAGAGATGACATGGATAGGATGGAAGTGGTGCAAAGGGAGATGGTGGAAACATTGGAAGATAGGATTGTAAACAGGATGGAAAGGGTTTTTCATGAGAGGATGGATAGGTTGGAGGATAAAATGATGGAGAGAATGAATAGCTTGGAGAAAAGAATTGTGGAGATCGAAGGGAGAGTTGTGGAACAAGATGATCAGAGGCTGACAAATAAATTGAAGATGGAAGTAGGGGTTGTGGAGAGGATGGAGATTTTGACAAATAAATTGGTGGGGAGGATGGAGAGGTTGACAAATAAAATTGTGAACATGGAACGTGAACTAGACAATAAAGTAGAAGATGTTGAGAATTAAATGATTCGTAAGAGTACTAGATTAGAAAGATTTGGTAGGTCTTTTTTGTTACTATACTTTAAAGGCATATTTATTTTGTGATCGTTCGGTGTTGAAACCAAGAAAATAAAATAATTAAATAATGATTAAAAGTGAACCTACTTAAACACACAAGGATTCATGTGAATGGAAGCATGGTTCATGTTAGGGTGTGCAAAAAAACTGCAAAACCGAACCGATCCGGTCAATTCGAAACCGAAAAAACTGTAACCGAAATAGAAAAAAACCGAAACCGAAAAAACTGACTATCTATGGATCGGTTTCTGTTTGGATACTTAGGTATCCGCGGATACCCGAACCGAACCGTCATATATATATATATATATATATATATATATATATATATATATATATATATATATATATATATATATATATATATATATATAATTCAAACATTATTTCTATTGTTCATGAAGCATTATTATTTCTGATACGGAAAGTGAAAGATTGGCAAGCAATAAACAAATAAATAATGATAAATATTAATAATATAGAAATGAAAATATTAAAGATCCTACTGTATGATTGTAATCTTTTTGAATCCATTGTATGCAATCTTTTTGCATGACTATGGTAGCTGACAAATTTCTTTTATCAAGAAACATCATACGGTCCAATGGCCATGGCCAATATCTTGTTTGCATTTCTACATTCGATCATGTTTTCTTGTTATTTTCATTAATATGGTTATTACACAGATTATAATTAATTTATAAATAATGTTACTTGAACGTCATCATGTTTTTTTTTTTTGAGTCTCTAGCTTACTTATTTTTATAAAGGAATAATTGAAATAGAGTTTGTAGTTTTGATTAAATTTGAAGTTTATATTTAGTGGGTACCCGTAAACCGAACCGTGGTTACCTGTCTCCATACGGTTCGGTTCGGTTTTCTTGCCAATTCGGTTCGGTTTCGGGTAGTGCACATGAGGTACCCGCCCCGCAGTCACGGTTCACAATTTTATTAATAACCGAGCCGTACCGCCCCGTGAACACCCCTAGTTCGTGTCATCAGGTTATGAATTAATACACATTATACCAAAAATGTTCAATTACTATATATGTGTTAAATTAAATAAAAAAAATGGGGGAGTTCATTTTAGAAATTATATGATATTAGGGGTGAGCACAAGCGGGTACCCGACCAAATTTACTGGAACCGGAACTGGCGGTTCCTAACATATTGGAACCGGTTACATCGGTTCCTAAAGATTTGGAACCGTTCCCGAAACCGCCAGAACCGGTTCCGATTCCGGGTACGCGGTGTCTAATTAAAAAAACATAAAAAAACAATGACATTATACGAAAAATTTCAAGATCATGGCTTACGTTATAAATTATAAATATTATATCATGTTGTTTAAAAAAAACATACCTTCGATATGCACATGTTAAATTACATAAGCTTGCTTTTATAGTTTATAAATATATATGTGATGATCATCTGTAGATATACAAAAATTGCTTTAGAATCTAAAACACATAACAAATAGTTAATCGTGCACAACACATATTGTAGGATATTAATTAGTTTTATATTTCATGCTTACTGTAACCGAGTATTAATCGCAATCACAACAGGAACTTTAACATCTCACATTATATATATATATATATATATATATATATATATATATATATATATATATATATATATATATATATATATACCGGTTCCGATGGGTACCCAGCGGGTAGCGGTTCTTAAAAAATGAGAACCGGAACCGGACCGCTTTAGGCGGTTCCGAGACGGTTCCAGTTCCGAAAGCGGGTACCCTGTTCCGGTGCTCACTCCTATATGATATGCCCCCTAATGTCCTAAATCATGTCCGGAGCTTCTTTTATCATCCAAAATTGTCTCAAGGTCCCTCGATTATGCCCTATAATCGCTCCAAACTTAAACAACCAACAAAAAATATCCTAAAGTAAAGGTAGTATTCCACTAAAGCATGTATATTACAAAATGATATGATATGCATGGAACAAATGCGTTAAATGCAATAAAAATGTATGTAAAAACGTGATAAATCATACATAAAATTGTCCCTAATATTATCTTTTCTTTTGTAGAGCCTATAAAAAATCTCTTGACCTATAAATATAAAAATATCGTTTGCAGTACCACGAAAACTTTCTTATTCTTTTATTTTCTAACATTTTGGTAACAAAATTGCCGCCTAGGAGTAGATAAATAGGAAATATAGAAATGTTTCCTTGAATATTGCTAGTATGCCTAGTTATATACAAAGTATTACATAATATAAGGGGCCATCAAAACCAATAAAACAATATTCTACATATACATATATCTAACACTCTCCTTCAAGTTTGAGTATTAATTATGTGCACTTTGTTTTTGATAGTTTTGAATCGGAATCGAAGAACGGTTAATAAAAGGAGGAATCAAAACAGGTAATAAGAACATAACTAGCTGGAACAAGAACAAGAATTAACAAGACTAGAACTTGGAATTTGGAAACCAGCTTATGAACAAGAAATAGAATGGTTAGGATTTTTATTAGTCCATACATTTCATATGTAGTGTAAGAATTTCTTTTCTTCATCGAGGTTAGTGTTTTATTAAGTTTTATTCTTAAACATTTGCATGGGTATAAGAGTCATTTTATGATACTTTGAGGGACAATTGTGAAAGATATGGGCGCTTAAGTGGGACTAACCCTAAAATCCCGGTTTATAACCCTATTTAACTACCAATGGTACCCCAAGAATTTGCAGTTTTAATAAAGTAGCATTTGTCATCGCTTATCTCAACTAGGGGATTAATTTGCCAAAAATAACAATATACATATCTCAAATGTTTTCTGTTGAAAAGTCTTCATCTCTCTCCAATATCTCTATTTTTGTACCTACATTCACAGTCTCAATTAAATACCAAGAATTGAATTTGATGATGGCATTTACATCATGCTAGGATCAAAAACATCTCACCTCTATTCGTGGGTGTTTTAACTTTGGCAACATCTTATTAATAAGCATCAACAATTTCATTTCAAATAAAAATGTAATTAAGCGAAAGATAAGGGGGGTTTAATGCATCATCCATAAACTAAACTACCAAGTACCTAAACTCGTTGAACTTCACTGAAACGAGGAATACAGAGCTAAAGCAAGTCAGCAACAGCAAACAGTTAGCAGGCGAATGGAGACGAAGCAAACTGATATTAAATTGAAAACTCCAGTTCGTTGCATCGTCAAACTCGGTCAGGCATCGTTTATTTTACCCTAAAATCTTCAAATTTCGTTAATTTCCGCTTGATCTCGTTTATTTGCTTGTCGAATCTGATGAACTCTCTTTTCAATTGATCTAGATATGTAGTTGTACCACCTTTATTGATCCTACTTTTCAAACACTTTTTTGTGTTATTATCGTCGTTATATTTTTTATTCTATGTTTATGAAGTAGGGGAAATGGGATTCCTAAAGTACTCTCTGTTCTTCTTTAAAATCATGATTAGACTCAATTTGTCTACGTTCACTACTGATTTGGGTTTCTGCGTATTAGGAGGTGCGGCAATCACATGCAAGAATGACTTTGAAAAGATAAATGAAAGCAATCTTGTTGAGGTTTCTTCACAGTTGCGTGAGGCAATGATGTCTGGATCTTCATCTGGGCAAGTTCTTGAAATGGATTGGAGCAAACGCCCTGGAATTTCAGAAACTTCAGTTACAGTGGACGCTTTTAAAGAACAAGAAGCTTTTGACTACAACAGTTTCGTTGTTATTCATGGAGCTGGTGAGTAAAGAATCTTGCTTACTTATTCATTCTCTATGATAAAAAGTTTTCACTGCAATTAATTTCCAATGATTTGTTTCATTAACAATCAAGTTTCCTTTTCCTATCCATTTTATGTGCCACTTTGTTTTTCAGGTTCTTTTGGTCACTTTCAAGCTAGCAAATCCGGTGTTCATAAAGGGGGGTTGAATAAACCTCTTGTGAAAGCTGGTTTTGTTGCTACTAGGATTTCTGTAAGCTCTATTTCTTTACAACTACCTTATTATTGTTGTTAAAGCTTTGTAATATCTACTTTTGTATAAACTTCACTTTCATAGCCTTTTTAGTATACCTTATGTTATTCATTTACTACTAAATTTATTTTAATAGGTGACATCCCTTAATCTTGAAATAGTTAGAGCACTTGCAAGAGGTAGAGTTCTCATTACCAAACTAAAGTTTCCACTCATTTTAATATTGACTTCTGGATATCCAATTGCATGTTGACTTTTGTTTTTAACTCTTTGTGCAGAGGGTATTCCATCAGTTGCATTGTCTCCATTTTCGTGTGGATGGTCAACCCGTGAAAGAAATGTCAGGAAGCACTCAAAAACTGTCTTCCATCATCTTGTTTAAAATCTATACACCTTTTACACAACAACAATACAACAATGAAAATCTTTTGTTTTTACAGATAGCATCTGCTGATGTGTCAACAGTGGTTAATGCCCTTGACTGTGGTTTTGTTCCTGTAAGTTTTCATTTTCTCAACATTTTTGCATCCGGTATAAAAAATGTACCTTTTTCCATATGATTTCATAGCACTAGTCCTTTCTAACCAGACAAAAGGGTAAAATTGTCATTTACTGTCATTCAGATTATTTATTCACACATCACAATACGACCTTGAAAAATATGTGATATTGTTATGCAATTTTAACGTTGATATTTCCATCCAGGTTTTGCATGGGGATGCAGTACTAGATGAGTCACTGGTATGTAGCATCTAACCCTAGGGGTGTAATTGTAAATTTGTAATTGTATGCCATTGATGATTAGCATCTAATATCAACATGTCATTTCTTGTTGTACTTTCAGGGTTGCACTATATTAAGTGGAGACGTAATTATAAGTCATCTGGCATCACATTTAAAGCCTCAATTCGTTGTTTTCCTTGTATCCTTACTTACAGATAAGAAAAAAAAAAAACACATTACAAAGATTCTACATTTATTTGGTGTTCCATGATGTATGTTTGTGTCTTTAGCATGATATTATATGCAAATGTTTCCTATATTAATGAGCAATGAAGACCGATGTTTTTGGTGTATATGATCGCCCTCCTTCAGAACCTAATGCTGTACTTCTCAGGGAGATTGGTAAGCACCCTTTATATATATATATATATATATATATATATATATATATATATATATATATATATATATATATATATATATATATATATATATATATATATATCCGGATTTTATATTTTTTAATGATGTTTATATGATTATTTGATTTGATGCAATGATGTCCATTATAATTGACAGCTGTACGTGAAGATGGAAGCTGGTTTGTTGTGAAACCAACATTTGAAGGCACAGATAAGCAAGGTTAGAAAAATATTAACAATTTGAGTGTAATATATTATGTTACAAAAAAAATTCAAATTTTTGATAATACGATTTTATATGAAACAGTTGAGATTAGTGTAGCATCCCATGATACAACGGGAGGGATGGTGACAAAAATATCAGAAGCTGCAATGATTGCGAAACTTGGTATTGATGTGTATATTGTGAAGGTAAATATAATTAATTTTATATATATATATATATATATATATATATATATATATATATATATATATATATATATATATATATATATATATATATAATCAATAGTTTCCGTGTATAATTTGATTTCTTTTATCTGAATCACTTCAGTGCTGAATAGTGAATACTTTGTGGTTTACAGGCAGCAACAGAACACTCATTGATAGCCTTAAGTGGCAAATTGAGAGATGAGATCCCTGAGGATTGGCTAGGAACAGTTATTCGTTATGTTCCATAAAACAAGGGATGATTATTATTATGCGTTTTGCATCTTTGTTTCTTCATGGATTTTTGTTGTTGTTTTCATGCTATTGACTTGATCAGATACACGGTTGAGAGAATTTTTCGGTTATAATTGTTTTAGTTACAATTTTACATGTGGTTGTAATTTGCTAAAAGTTCACATTATTGATAAACAATTTGTTTGTGATTAGCGGGATCTAATCTTAAATAAGTTGAATTAGATTACATATCAAATTAAACCATTCTTTCTTTCTTCTCTGTACCTATATTTTCATTTTATTACAAAAAGAATGGCTTGAAAGCACAATATACATGTACAAATGGTTTAATCTGAACGTTCTATTGAGTTATTTCCATCAACCCAAGGAGTCATATATACACTAAAAACAAAAGAAAATAATGAAGACAAGGAAACATAGCACAGGAAATGAAACAAAGAAAACAGAATAACCACTCCATAAGTTCACACAAGTCGCATCCCAAGCATATCGAGATACAAAGTGTACGTACATAACCCCTTCCTCTCCCCATAAATTTCATGACTTTTTTTAGCACATCATAAATAACCAAAAATTTGTAAAATAAAAAGAAACCTAATAAAGTTTTTTTTTCTTAAATAACCACCACCATAAATCTAGCAACAGCAGTTCTTCATATAAAACCTCTCTCAATCCACACAGAGTAAAATTACTTGGGACCAATATCCTTAAGAGCACAGATCTGCTCCTCTCCCATGGCAGACATCACTGTAACCACAAGATCCTTTCCTTCAGCAAATCCATCCTTAATCTGCACAATTTTTTAATGAAATTTATTAAACATATAGATTATATTTAACAATTTCAAGTTAACTTTCCATGTTTTATTACTAATTACTAATTACTAACCTGTGTAAGCAGACTATCATCGGTTGGAAGCTTGAGATCATCCTTAGTGCCACCATTTTCAGTCAACAGACTCACCTATAATAAATCCATTTTATTAAATTCATCACAATATAAACCAAATAAAAAAAATAGAAGGAAAATGACAAGATAAGTGACACGTACGAATCCATCTTCAGAAATGTCAATGAGCTGGTAGTCAGTACGGTTGACATGTGGAACCTGAAACAAAAGAAAATATTACAGTCTGTATAAGGGGGTGTTTGGATAGGAAAAAAAGAGGTGCTTATTGCTTATTCCCACAATAAGCTAATTTAAGTGTTTGGATAAAATCCAGCTTATTAGGCTAAATAAGCTAATTTCAATAAGCATAAGCAATAAGCTAAAAATCTAATCCAAACACCCCCTAAATATAAAGTTACAAAAAAAAGATGTAAAATATGTTGTACAATGGATAAAACATACATCACAATTGTGGGAAGAGGGAACGATGTCTTCAAGCTTCTTTCCATTGAAGATATCAATGGCAACGAAATGACACTTGGCGTGTCCGTGCTTGCCAGTCTTTGAGGTTGAAACTTCCACGACCTGCAAAAAGAAAGAAATGACATAAATTGCTTCATCTTCTAAAAGTTGGTTTCTTTTAGAGAGGTGAATTTCAAACAGAGTGTAGATCTACAAGATGGGAATTTCACACCGATATAAGCTAGTAATGACATTAATTTGTCAATGCAACTATCATAAAAATCTCCTCCGAGAGTAAAAAAAAAACAGAGTATATGACAATTAATACAGGAACCCGTTGATATATGTGTATTCGATCATGCGATTAGTTACTAGATGAACGAATTTGCAAAAAATAGACTTATAAGAAACATCATCAAATCTAAGAAAACTTAATCCATCACCTAAAACTTAAAATCCGTAAGAAAATAGTAATTTCAAGCAATCGAATCCAGCAAATTAACATGCAAATCGATGGATTAATAACAAGTATAGCATCGATACCATGCTATAAGAACAGATTGACCACATCGACGGTGAAAATTAACAACAACGATCTATAATACCAACTCCGAAGAGTACAGGAGTAAATCGGATCTATAATTCGACGAATAAACACATGAATAATAAATTGATCGATACCTTGCAAGCACGATTCTTGATAACGATGTAACCATTCTTCCTGATAGTACCAGCTTGCTGAGGGAAAGTTTTGGATGCTCCTGCATCGGCTTTAGACTCGAATTGATGCTCTTCGTCAGACATATTTTCAAAAATGAGACAAAAGATCTACAGAGAAAGTGACGAAGAGTAGTAGTATATGTGAAGGTTTGAAGAAATTTGGGGAGAAAGGTATATTAGGGTTTTAAGCAACAGCCGTACAAAGAGATATTATATAGTATTATTCAGATTGAATGGTGTCCGTCGGATTAGATTACACACTTTTTGTCATTCGTAGTAACCCTGTAGTTCTTTGTAGACTGCCGAAAGGCCCTTCTGTTTTACTCTATGCTATATTATGCCCTCCCTCTATTTAATCTTCTTTTTTAATTTCTATAGTACATTCCTTTTCAATTTGTTCTAAATGAAGTTAATTACATTAAAATGAAATCTTTTAACGGATGGATTTTAATATTTCACCTTAAAAGTTAAAACCTTAGAAATACAATTTTGAATATTTCATATTTGTTGACAATACTTTTACAAAAAGTCTAAAATTTTACAATTAATTGATGTTTCATCTCTTCATTCGGTCTAACTTCACAAATTGGTATTTCACTAAAATCAAAACAAGTCAAAAGTATAATTTTTGCTTTAAAAATCCATTATATTACTTCTTTTATGTTTGTTTTTTTCATTTTCCGTTTTAATAAAATTACAAGAAAAAGGCTAACTTTTAAAAAGTACTACAAAGATTACAAACAGCATAAATACTTGTTAGTTATTTTAGTTTACAATGATTGGTTAAAACAATGTGTGTGGACAATGACTACAATAGGAATAAACACAAAAATTAATATGATAAAGACATTCATGTCTTAAAGCTTGTTGCCTTGTCATTTGTGTTTATGTAAAAATGGCCTATTTTGAACTTCCGGTTGAAAAGGAAGCAATGTATTTGTCATCCATTTCATGTATGTATATCCTTGGAGGCATTTCCCTGTATTAAAAAAAAAAAAAAAATCCAAAATCAGATAAAAGTAACAATAAAAATTTTAAACCAAGTCAAGTCTAGCACACAAGCAATAAAAATAGAGGTCAAGTCTGTCATAAAATGTAATTCATACAGTTCGTAATTTTGACCCATTTACCAAAAATGGGAAGATTTGGTCCAACGAGTCAAACAGGAAAATTTTAAAAAGTTTAGCTTTGAATTTCTAAATCCTGTAAAAAAAAGTTTGTAAATTGTAATCAAAATAATGCCGAGAATAGACTTGAACAAATTCAAATGAAAATTCATTTAATTCCAATGGCCCAACCAAACATGATGATGGAATGTAATGACTCATTCCATTACACTCTCCATTCCATTCCTTTATCATTCCATTCCATCCAACCAAACAGACCCCAACTTTAGTAAATCATATCTAATATATATATATATATATATATATATATATATATATATATATATATATATATATATATATATATATATATATATATATATATATATGAATCATATAAAAAAACTGGTTATATTTATTTAGAATTTAAGTGGGGACACAAGAAGATATACTAACAATTCATTTTCTTCACTGTAAGTGTAACTTGAAGCAACAGCCAGAAATTGTCCTCCATGGCTATATGATAAAGAGGCGATACTATTTTCAAATTTTGGCATCTGAAATTACAACAATAAAAGTTCAACATCTTTAGATCTACCACAATTTTTATATAAAATTTCATTTGAAGATATTAATAACCATTGGATTATGTAAGATTACCTCATAAACTCTCTTTTTACTTTGAGCATTCCATATTGTGACATAACCTTTATTATCACCCGTGACAAAATCGCCATAAGTCCTAATCACAAAAGATTATCAGTTTAAACTTCTACAAGTTTTTTTCATTAATTATTTTTTTTTTTTTTAAAAGACATACGATGGACTAAATGCAATATCATTCACAGCTGCAAAATTATGCCTTGCTCTCTTTGCCTTTGGATGACATCGAAAAGCATATCTGTAATAAGAACACAGGAATTATATAAATAACATAAAGTTAAAAATTCAGAATCTTTAATAATAAGAGTACTAGAAATGAATAAGTGGGTGTTATTTTAAAAAGATTAAATTACATATCTGATCCTTGTTTCAATCAAAATGACTAATTTTAGTCCCCAAAATAGTCATTTTACATGGAACATGGACGAAAAAATGTTGCAAGAGCAAACATTTCGGGAACAAAATTGAAAAAATTAATTGTACTAGGGACTAAAGTTGTAACTTTATCTTATAAATAATATGGCAGTTGAAAGATGCATAAACTTACCCATCGTTGTTTTGATCAGATGGATTAAAATACTTCAATGCAACACGTCCATCAGTTGATCCAGCTGCAAATCCTGCATTATTTGAGATATATAATTAAATAAACTCACCTAAAACTTTCAAAAAAGTCATATAATAGATTTATTGCTAAATAGTAAATAGTGATTTTATAGCTAAATACCTTGGTCTAGATAAGGGCGAACACACTCGATTTGAATTTCTACACATTTACTATTAAATGATTTGTTGAATTTGCGTAAGTCATATATATTTACTGAATCCCCAACAGCAACCATTGAAGCAAATCCACATAGGGATATAGATTTGACCCCTTTATTAACAGTATTTACAGCAGTAAGAGTTTTTGTTGACCTTGAATCCCAACATTTTATCTTTTTGTCCCACCCTGCAGTCACAACTTGACCTGTGGAACCAAAAAAAATGATGAATTTTTGGAACATGAAATATAAAAATGTAACAAAAGTTAAAAGCACGATTTTCTCTAGAAAAAGTCACTAGAAGAGGAAGATGATCTTTTATTTGTAGAGGAAAAGTATTCAAGCGAATATGGTTGACAAAAATGACATTGATTGTGAAGATTATGGAAACTGATGACTTATTAATGAAAGTGTTCATGCTTTTTAAAACAGAGTTGTAACTAGCATTATTAAAAATCTTAAAACATTCTATGTTTGCTATGGAACTTTGTGTTGTTTATTGTAAGTTTTTATAATATTTTAGAACTTTGGAAGTAAAAAATTGTTTATGGTTTACCTGTTTCATTAGAATATTCAACACAAGTTGCTAAATCATCATGATTTCCAAAGTTTTCTCTCATTCCTGAATGCAAATCGTACCTGCAATGATTTTTCTTACAAAGGTCATGCTTAAAACCAAGAAATTAAGAAGAAAACGTCTGAATTATGTAATGTACTAGTGTTATAGCTTTAAGCCATCTATTGGAGTTCAAATTTATCTTAAATTTGTATGGGATTCAGCACAGACTTTCATCAGTTTTATCTTAAATTTGTATTGAGACTGTTCTTTTATATGTTCTATTGTTCTTACTCAAAAACTTTGAGGAGAATACGAAGATATACAAATAAATGATGCACAGTATTCACTCTTTTCCATACAAGACTTGAACTTTGACCTTGAAGGTCAGACAAATGGATGATTCGTAACTGAAAATCAATTCAATTGCATTAAGTTGTATTGAGCGTTTTCCCTTAAACCAGAACCCTAGAACACATTAAGTTCGGGATTTCAAATACACATATCGAGAGTTGTCTTTTCAACTTCACTATAATTAATCATAAATCTGAGAACAGACCTAGTTATGGAACAATCAGAAGCAGCACTGAAAGCAGCTGACTCCCCTTGGAAACAACAGTCTAGCAGCGCAGCTTCCCCGGAAGCTTCAAAAATTAGCCTAGATCGATCCACATCGTACAATCTAAGATTCTGCGCATACAATACCCCATAATTAATGGTTCCTGAGTGTATAGTATAAAAATCTGCACGCAAACATACAAACAAACTCTCGATAAAGACGAAATCTTACAGTATCCCAGGAAGAGATAAGGAGATTGTTGGATGCTGGGGCGAAGCGAATTCTGGAAATAGCATCTTGAATTGGGTTTTCTTCGAACTGTAAACAACTTCCGTCCATCTTCTTAAACTGAAAACAGTTGGAGCCACTGAGCCCTAAATAAGGTACACAAGGGTTACAGATACAGAAGCACGGACGTATGCAAATTGAAGTTTCTCTATATTAGAAGTTTCCCGCCTGGTCGCTGTTCGAAGGGGTGTTTGGGTCTTTTTTGAACTCTAAAAAGTAGAGATTATGCCCATAATATATTTTGGGTATCGTTTTTAAAATATAGAGATAAAAAAAAATAAACATGGATTCTGCCGAGTTGGCCTCCAAAGGCTCCGAAGAATTAGCATACCCTCAGCGTAATGGCAATATGATAAATTAAGGAGGGGCATAAATGTAAAATTGACAGAGTTTATAGCGCATACCTACCTCTGTGGAACCTTTGTAATTTTAGTAGCATGTTCTTCGGTGTATCGAAAAAAATCCAAAAATCTTGTCTTTGGGGAAGAACAAATCCGCAGAGCTAAATAAACAATCTACGGAGGGTGCTCGGAGGAACTATTCTTCAGGAGAGGGTGCCTCAAGAAATTTTTTTTTAGCTTTTTTTTTGCCACATCGATTTCTCAGAACATAAGTTCATTCGTTGTAGCCCTCATAGGTAGCTCTACGAAATCCATATCTATTTGTGGAAACATGTTTTTTATGCCTTTATTTTAAAAACCATACCCAAAATATGGCTATTACTAGCATAATCCTAAAAATAAGTGCTTCAAGTGCTTATTGAGTTATATCAATAGTAGTGATAAAATGAGTTTCTAAAAAATATTTGGATCGGTTTAAAAATTCAATAAGTTAAAAAAATATTTGGTTTAAAATTTTATTTTTGAAGTTATTTTGGTTAAAATATCAAAAACAATTTCAAAAAGTCAAAATTTACATGCTTTTTAAAATCTGTTTTTTAAAGCTAATGAAAAATCTATTCTAAAAAATATTTTTGAATTTGCCAAAAAAAAAAATTTACTTAATGGTTTTTTTCAAAAAATCAATAAATTAATAAGTTGTTTTGAAAAGCTATCACAAGCAGGCAAACATTCGAAGGAGTGATATTTCATTATTTTGCCAACCAAGACATCTCATTTTTTTGTCATCCACCTTACCAACAATACGGTGCTTTAGGTTTTAACCTTTTAAGTGTAAATTTCATAAAATAAATTAATTTCGATTTAATTTCAGTAATATAATTAATTAAAAAAATGTTTAATTGAAAAGTTATAATTAAAATAGTGTGAAGCTAGGAGTTGACTTTTCAAGAATTAGAATTGAGATTCTAACTTGGATTCAACCTCCTTAGCCAGTGTCGGGCCTTAGATTGTACAAATATTTAAAGTTTGGGATTAGACTAGAAACTAAATGACTTGGTTAGTTAGTAAAAATTCTAGCTACGGTTTATGTTGCAAATATGAGGAATTATGAGATTATTCGTAAATGAGGAATGTTTATATGTCTTAAGTCGTATAACTCCCTTCCCTTATATATTTGGACTAGGAATGGCAATGGGGCGGGTTCCGGGCGGGGCATGGATTCCCAACCCCCCCCCCCCCGATAACTTTCGGGTATCTTATCGGGGCGTCCCATTGGGTTTCGGGTATCTTATCGGGTTTACAACAACTGATAACGAAATCTTTATTCTCTTTTAGGGTACCCCAATGTTTTATAAAATATACATGTTCTAGCAACTCTTTTAAATTAAAAACATGATGCATCACTTTAATAAAATAAACTGGACGTTATATAAAAAATTATTTGATTTAAGTTTTGTTTAATACGTCAAAACACATAAAAATGATCATTAACACCAGATTGTTAATAACTAAAAAAATTGTCCACGATAAGTATTTTATATTTGAACGTGTACAATTAGTAGCAAAAATTTTTGAACATATATATATATATATATATATATATATATATATATATATATATATATATATATATATATAATCGGGGCGGGGCAGGTCGGGGCGAGGATAACCCACTCCCTGCCCCGAACCCGATAACGACCCGTTACCCGACCCGAAATGATCGGGTTTCGGGTTTCCCCGTCAGGTTCGGGTTTTTTTGCCATCCCTAATTTGGACTATTCCCAACTTACAAAGAAATGAGAGCTCAATGTTTGAAGAAGGCTTCAAAATCATGAAGCATCAAATTCAAGTGTCAAATCCTTTAAGGTAGTATCTTTATTCTTTGTTGTTAAGTTTGAGCTTCCATCAATGGTGAATCACTCCCTAGATTCACTAATCTCGAACTAATGATGAAATACAGATTTTTATGTTACATTGCTAATATGTTGAAGTTTATACATCTACATGGTAAAAAATGTGATTATGAAGCTTAGATGGCCTCTTGAGCCCTAACTTTTGTTTATTACACAAACATTCTTACGCAACAACTCCTAATCATGAAATGATAACATGACCAAAGTTATAAGAACAAAAAATTACAAAAGGCTCTAGCAAAGTAGAAGACTGAAATTTAAAGCATATGAATATTTACAAGATCTGCTATAAATTATAACAAATTTCAGCCATCAAACAAGGGAATCAATCAATAATCTTTCCCACATGATTTTCAATTTCAATTCTCCGAATCAAACTCACAAACATCTTTCACTCAGGAACATAAAAATCAAACTTCACATCCATAGAACCAGAATCCACTCCGTTATCCTTATACTCCACATTCATAATCGTCCCTTCACCATCTTCTTCTTGATACTCTGCTTTCACGCGCCTCACAGGCACAGTCACCGAGTAAATCGTCCCCATAGCGGGGTCCGTTGCCACGCTGAGCTGGACTTTATCTTGCGACTCAATCACCACAAAATCCGAAAGGGTTTTCACTATATTACTAACAATCTTCTGTTTAGCTTCTTCACTCACTGCACATCTGTCTGAAAAGAGAATCATTTTCAGCCTTTGTTTAGCAACACTTGCATTTGAGTTCTTGATCATTGATGGAGATGGAAAGACAATTTTCCATGCTAGACTTAATCGTTCAAAGAAACCCATGTTTATGGCGTTTAAAAGGAAGCTTTCTGCATCTTGATTGAAGGAGCTTGTGGACATTTCATAGTTGTTCATGAAGGTGAGAGGTCGTTTGGAGTTGCAGCGTGTGTTGTGGGTGTGGGTTATTGAGGATGACCATTTAGGCGTTGTAGTTTCGGAAAGAGTGGGTCCCGCGTTTAGGAAGTTAACATGATCTATCTGTATTCAAGATGGAATTATCTAGAATAATCTTTAATGATCAAAAGATATAGAAGAATCTAATCAATTATATAGCGAAAATTGCTTTGTGTTTGGATGACATTGCTATAATTGGGATGATTTTTCACATTACAATGTTGTAAAAGGAATAAGAGAAATTGGGATGCTATATAAGTATATGTAAACAAATTAATATAAGTAGGTTGTTGTTTCTTCTATTTAAACCCTAGTAATCAAGACATGAAAGTCGACTCAGGTTGAAATAAGTTGACTTTCATTCAGTCTGTTAGAACAAAGAGATTCAGTCCAGGTGGATACTCCAGCAAGACTACCATCAAGGGATACTCACTGTGTTCTACAGGAAAGTGCAAAAATCACTCCAGAAAAGGTCAAGTGCTCAAGGGAAGAAAAACTCACTGTGGTTTCATAGAAAATAGTAAAAATCACTATATATAAAACCTAACATTTACCAAAATCTTAAGTATATACAAGAGTGAATGTCAGAGGTACCAGATAGACCAAATACTCTCAAATCCGCAAAACAAAACCCTACTTCGAAACGATACGCAGATACACCGAACCATATTTATGATTCGATTTCATTAAATATTTCCCAAATTCATGCAATAATGTACCAAAATCAACAATAAATAGCCATGGATCTGAACTATCAGCACTAACAGATGTCTCTTTAAATTCACATACACAAAATCGAAATACAGCCAAGAGAGTGGTTTTAGAGTTCAGACCTTTGGTGGTAAACTGATACGGAGGGGATTCGTAGGAGAAGGGCCTAATGCAGCAGAGACCCTAAAATCACCAGAAATCGCCATTCTGAATCTCTATCTCCCCGATTGGGGATTCCGTGTATTTGGTTTTGGTTTTTTTAGGGTTTTTTTTTGTGGTGAATGCGATGATAATTTCTGGTTCTCGACAACAGTACTAGCCAAGAGTTTTACTTCGCTTATTCTTACAGCAACTTGCACAATTGCTTGCTACGACGTCGTAACTCTAGGGCGTTAAGCCGTTAAACATCGGTAGATTTTTTGGTTGGCGTTAAGCCGTTAAACATCGGTAGATTTTTACCAAAAAAAAAAAAGAAAAAAACAATAATGAAAAACATCTTTGGGATAATAATTTGAGATAGTAACTTTTAATTTTGTTGAGTCATTGAATTTTTTTTTTTGTTTTTGATTTATCCTTAAATTATTTGAAACATTTTACCTTTATAAAATGTAATCAATTTCAAATAATTGAAGGGTAAATAAAAAATGAAAAAAAATTTCAATAACTAAATATGAAAAAAAATTAAAAGTTAGTTACCCTCTTTAAATCATTATCCAAAAAAGATGTTTTTCATTCTTTTTTTTTGGTAAAAATCTGCCGATGTTTAACGATTTAACATTTAACGTCTTAGAGCTACCATTTCAAGACATTATCCTGTAAATTGTTCTAAATGTTATTAAGAATGAGCACAAGCTAAATATGAAAGTCACAAAAGCGATGATGTTTATAGTAATCATGTGATATACCTTTATCGTGTAAAGTACTAGAAACGACACTAAGAAATACAATAGAAGTGACTTTAATCACATAGAAATTAAAGAAACAAAGATTTTGGTGGTTTTAGACATATATACTTAGGACATAACAACAGTTTTTACTCAACGGGGTGGAGACGGTCATTGTAGATCGTGCGAGAAAGAGAGAACATATGATAAAGAAGCGTGGAGAGTATGCAATGTTAAATTTGAATGCGGTTTTTCTATGTAGAAAGACATGAGCTTTGATTAAAGAGTGTGGATGCATAAAATCAAGGTCGTGGAGTAGTACATTAGTAGTCTAGGTGCTAGTTGCCTTTACATTGTTGTGCATTTTACCTAATTTTCACTGTTTTTACTTTCAACTTGTTTTGTCGATACTTTTCTTCCAAGTTATTACTTGTATCTACCTTTCCTATTTGTATGTTGGTTCTATATATACCTTCTAACCATGCTCTTTTTGATTTTCGATCTATTTTTCGTTTTATTGCCTGTATATGTGTCTCTTTGCTTTTGTGAAACTCTACTGATTATTACTTCTTTGTAGGTTGCCTTTTCACTTATACGCAAATAAAAAAAACTCTGGTTAAAAGTTTATTTCATTAACTAGGATTAAATCAACGAACTGCAACATGGTTATGTGATACACATTCTATTATGTAATACTCCTTACAAACATAACATAAAACAAATCGTAGTTACTAAAATCAAAATTATTAATCTAAGTAATTGCTACCAACAAGTAAAGTAAACTAAGGGATGATTACAAAAAAAGGATAATGACTTGAAAAGATAAGAAACTTTCAATTAGTTCATATTGAGTCACTGAACTTTTTTTCATGCTTGATTTACCCATGAATTATTGAAATGTTCACATTTTACCCTTTTGACAGACTGTAGCCAGTCATAAGGGTAAAATGTGAACAATTTCAAATAATTCAGTGGTTAAATAAATATGGAAGAAAATCAATGACTAAATGTGAACAAATTAGAAAGTTCGTTACCCCCTCAAATCATTATCCTTTAAACTTTTTAATATTGAAGAGGAAAAGCTTCAATGATTGAAAGTGGTTGTTTTCCTTAGAGTAAACTTACATTGTGTGTCATTGTGATTTATATTTATTTATAGTTTGAGGAAAAGTTTTCAAAAATTAATGTGTCTCATCTATAACACCATAAATTTTCAAACAAAATTTTCATTTAAAAATAACATAATTCTCATAACTCATTTCACAAAAAACTCATTTATTTAATTTACAAAACGCAACTCCACAATTATTTGATTTATAATCCAAGATCCTCAAAACATAACTCTTTCTCTAGTGTATACAATCTAGTCGACGCCTTCCTACGATCCCTAGAAGAACCTGAAACACATATCACATAACACGGTAAACACGAAGCTTAGTGAGTTCCCCAAAATACCACATGCATAAATAATAATCCTCTCATGGCTATAACTCGGCATGGACCCTCTGGTCTCATGCCTCTCGGTGAGGACCCTCCAGTCTCACGGCTCGGTATGGACCCTCCGGTCCTATGTCTCAGTGAAGACCCTCCGGTCATAACTCAGTAAAGCTCAACATAATATACAACATAAATCACAAAGACATAATGCAAGATATCACAATACTTAATATAATCACATAAGACCCTCCGGTCACATAAAGATTACCACTCTAGGTGAAGTATAGTGAGAATACTCATATCGGATGATGAACAGCTCCTATAGATGTTGTTGTTGCACCGACCTCTAATACTGGACCAAAATCTACAATTACCCAATTAAGATCTAAATCCAAATCCTCACTCTTTAGGTCTAAAGGTAGTCCACTAACTAGCCCATCAACAACCTGAAACTCGTTGGGCCCACTAAGGCCTAATAATGAATGGGCTCTCCTGAGGCCCTACTCTCAAGTACAAGCGACAAGCCCAACATAAGGGCCCAAGGCATATATATATATATATATATATATATATATATATATAATATTTCTCTGCTCAAAATTTCTAGTACACAAGCCCAAAGATCCAGGCCCAACCCTTAAGGCCCAAAATAAGATTTAGCCCAAAAAAGCCCACAACAAGGTTACGTGGGGCATACCTCCCTTGGTACGCTCAACGTACACCATCATGCATGAAATCTGATCGGGAACACTAACCCAGTACGTGGGGCGTACTAGGATTATGCTTGGCGTACATCCGATATGGCTTTTCTCACTTTTTTGGTCTTAACTCGTTAAGACCTTAGCTCATATCACAGATCTGGACTCCTTAGCGGCTCTTACTCCATAAAGTCTATGACTTTAAGCCTTTGCATGGCTGATAAAGCCACAATCACCCAAAACACTCATTTTCTTATCTCAAAATGCTCATATCTCAAGCATGGATTGATTCAAACATCCAAGTCTCAACTTTTATGACATTGTACTCCTAAAGACACTCAAAGGAGCTTCTCATGATCTCTGGAGCTCATTTTCTCATAAAGCATGCAACTTTGGGACCAAAACCCTAAAATGGTCTAACATGATGAACAAAACAAAAGAGTGAGAAAGCTTTGAGCTTTATACCTCCAAATGAAGCTCCCAACACATATATGCTTAGATCTATAGCCTGGACTCCCACTCCTTCTTCTTTAAAGCTCCTTCTTCACTCTAAGAACACACAAAATCACTTAAATGCTCTTTAATGGACACACACAGGCTCAAGAACGAGGATTAGGGTTTGAGAGGGTTGATTGTCTGAGGATGGTGGCCATGAATGAGGCCATCTTATTCTTTATATAGCGACACCCTCTCATTTAGGGTTTTCATTCTGTGCCTAGTACACCCAACATACCCTCTGGTACGCCTAGCATACTAGGTGGCTCTGCTTAAAAGTCATGCACATGAGTACTACGCCCAACGTACTCAGCTGCCACATTTCTCAAATAAGGGACCTATCTTGACAAAACTTCAAACTTCCATAAATACCTCGATATAACTTCGTTTCCAATGAATCTCATATCCATGGAAAGGTGATGAGAAGCCCTACGCTTCTAGCAACTTGTCGTAGCCCCGAGGCTTCCTCATGCCCGAGTTACAGCCCACGAACCCTAATCACGGACGATCCGAAACAGGATGTTACATCAGCTTTACGATTTAAGCTGCATGTGTAGTATCTAAAATCAAGAACATTTTTAATGGGAGCTTAAAACATCTCAGATGATAAACCTATATGATAGGTAAAAAAATGTCACCTCACCATTTAGTTATATTGACCTTTAAATAAATTGTTTCTCCAAAAAATTTTATGACATTTTTCGTTAGTTTAACTAGTTTATCCTTATCTATCTAAAATGTTATATAAACCCTTTCATTTAACTAATTTTTTTAAACACGTCGTATTTTTATATAAACGTTCACTCGTATACAAACGATTCATTACTATATTATATATTATATATTATAAATATAAATTTTTTATCTATAAACTTTACAAAAATAATAAATACTTAAAATTAAATCAAGGGGATAAAATATAATATTGTTAAAGAGAAACGGTTAGGGGGTTCAAAGTATTAAACTATATTGATCATTCAATATATATTGAGTGATCAATAAAAATGAACAAATAAATCATCTACTCCAAACAGTGTGAAGTTGTTTTAACCACTCAATCAAATATAAACAAACTATAGAAAACCTCCCATTAAAGATGATGTTAAATAAGAACTTATTATTATTTATATAAAATTATTTATGACTTATTATTATGGGTATAAGCTTATTTGTTTTTTTATTGACCGTTTAATATATATTGAATGATTAATATATTTTCATGTTTATTTTATTTAACTCCTCATCTTCTAATTATTTTTCTTTTTTACCTTTTAATTGTATTTTAGTTTTAATGTTTGTAATTTATTTACAAGTTAATTATTTATATCAAATATTTAATGGCATTTTTATTTATGAAATATAAAATTATAGCGATTATATAATATCTTTAATCTTTTTTATAAATATGTCGTATTTTGTATATTTTATATTTCTAAAATAAAGACATGATATACCTTTATGACTTACATTGGAAAAGGAAGTCCTTAGTCGTGTAGTCAATCTTTTAACAATTCATCAGACGAGATAATTTCTCCCTGATAATCTTGGAATCAGATATGTGAGGATCGGTAGGAATGGATATGTAAGAATATAAACGAATATGGATTTAGTAGGCATGAGCAAACGGACCGAACCGGTCGGAACCGGCCCAACCCGAACCAAACCAAGGATCCGGATTCGACCAAAATTAAGAACAGAACCGGCCCGGTGGTTCTACCGATTCCGGTTCCGGGTTCAGTTTTTGCCATATTTTCGATTTTGGAATCAGTCTAATTTGACACACTTCCTTGCGAGGCTTGTATCTCATTCAATTTTTAACCAAATTAAGCATTTTTGTAGTTTAAACTTAACTACAAAACCAAACTACGTGTAGGAAAAAGATTCAT